CTTCTTTCCTGTTCTGCCCCCCCCCTTTGCCTCCCTTTCCCAATAAACTCCGTGTGGGTTTGCTGAAGTTTGGTCGATGAGTTTCATCGCAGCAGCCGCAGCAAAAGAATAACAGGGGGACTAGAGAGATGCTCAGCGGTTAAGAACACTGACTGTTCTTCCAGAGGTGCTGAGTTCAATTCCCAGAAACCACATAGTGGCTCACAACCACCTTGAATGACATCTGGTGCCCTCTGCTGGCACAAGACTGTATAAAAAAAAAAAAAAAAAAAAAAAAAAAAAAAAAAAAAAAAAAAAAAAAAAAAAAAAAGAACAACAGGGTCGTCATAGACGAATGTGAACCCAGCGCTGTGGGGACAGAGACAGGAGAATGGCCGGAGCCGGCCGGCTGTCAGCCAAGCCGCCACAGCCGCGGGTTCAGCGAGAGACCCTGCCTCACAGGAATGAGCTGGGACTTGACAGAACAGGCCGCTGGATGTCTTGCTCTGGTCTCTCACACAACAACTGTCTCTTACACCCCTAACCCCCAACTCTGCTTCCCATCACCCAGCCTCGGAATTCTTTTCTGTGGTGAAGCACCGAATCCCGCTGTCTCTGACTGGAGGCGCCCAAGCGGAAGGGGCCCTCAGGGCTGGGAGGTGACTGAGCCCAGCCGCATCCCCCTCAGCAGAGCCCACAGCCGACAGCTCTGAGGATGGACGCCAGGAAGTGCCTCTCTGCGCTCCTGGTCGGACAGTTTGTACCTGCAGCTCCTTCGGCCGGCCCTCATTGCTGGTATCCACACATCCAGCCCCAGAGCCCCGAGTGACAGGAGGTTATCCTCCCACCCCTTGTTGACAACACCACTCCCTCCTGTCAACAACGCTGAAGAAGCTCATTGAGACACACACAGACATGAAAGGGATCAAGGACAGCGGGAGAGGGACAAGAGAGGACCAAGTCTGTGTATGTGAATATGAGCAAGATTCGTTATATACATGAGCGAAAATGTTATTGAGAAACCTTACATATAATTAATGTGTGCTAATGAAAACATTATAAACATTCAAGCAGTTAAGCAGTAAAAGCTGCTGCCGTCCTTCCACCACAGAAAGCTGACACATAAATTCTTTTCAGGGTTATTATAAAGTGCTTCAAGTCATGATCAATCCTGGAGGTGGAAGAGAGGGCACTAGACAGAGACAATAGAATTTATGCAGATATAAACATAGGGCCTTAAGAGGAGAGAGAGGGAGGGCCTTAAGAGGGGAGAGAGGGAGGGAGGGAGGGACAGGCAAAAGCAGGCCGACCTTGAGAAGGGGAGGTGAAGACAGAAGAGCTTCAGAGTGATAGCAGCCTTCATGCCTAGACCAAATCCCTGAGGTCTCCTCCAGAGTTGTCTCAGACTATTCTCCTGAACAAATGAAAAGTTCTGATTTTTTCAAATGACCTTTTAGGGGGCAGGATCTTTCATATCATGTGATTTGGCTCAGCACAGTGTAGATGGCAGGCAGCATGGAGAAGAAGGTTCTCTAACTTGTCAAGTAACAGCACACTGCTTCTTAACTCAGTCCAAGGGAGAGCTGCACAGAGGCTATGAGATCAGGCCTCGAGAAGCAGGCTAGTGAAAGCGAGCCACAGTATCTGGTTCTTCTCTCTTGTCTCAAGCTGGCCCTCCTGGGGGGCAGGGTGTTAGGTCTCAAAGAAATACAGGACAAATGGTTAACTGAGGTGCCTATTAATATCACCCAAGCAGATGCTGGCCAGCTCCTGCAGACCATTCAGTACCTATGTCCCCCCTTCCCCCTCCCCGCCCCCCCCACGGCACTTTCCATCTGGCCCCCTGCCCTAAGCTTCTCCAGGCCAGGGCCTAGGCTTCTTTCCTCCTAGCTGGCTCCACTTCTGTATCCCTTTTGGTCCACTTCCCCAACTCTCTTCTCTCTCCTCCACCTTTCTCTCCTCCTATGGCCTGGTCTGGACCATTTCAGATGCCTCTGGCTGTATTCTTCCACACATCTACAATAAATTTTCTCCTCCACCAGACAGGAGCTGTTATGTTCTCATTTTTCATTCAGGGAGTATTGAAGCAAAGCTGACTCTTGACTTTACTTGTTCCTCTACTGGCGAACCCTTTCAGCTTCTGTAGCCAGCCTCATAGGATTGAAGATATTCCAAAGATACACATCTTTCAATCTCAGACACTAATGAAATGATGCCCCCTCCCCAAAAGGGAATCTCCCCAAGAATCTTACGTTTGGAGAATGAAAATATGCCAGCCAGAGGAGATTTATGACTTGCCAGACTAGGCCGAAGTCCACACAATGATAGGACAATCGGTGGGTGGGACCAACCTAGACAGAGGCTGCCCAGGTATCGACCCATCAGAGAAGAGGACACCTTAATTGAAGAATTGCTGCCATCATACAGTGGGCATGTCTGTGCCTCATTTCCTTGCTAAATGAGGTAGGAGAGCCCAGCCAACTGTGGGTAATGACAGCTGGGCAGCTTTCCTGTCTTTAAAACCCAGAGAACTACAAATTCTTCCTTTCTGTGCGTATGATAAGTGCATACATGCCTGCGCATTTCTGGGTGCACAGATGCCAGAGGATGACATCATTTTCTTTCACTCTCCCCTTATTCTCTTGAGACAGGGTCTCACTGAACCCTGAGTTAGGCTGGCAGACAGGAAGCCACAGTCATTCTCTGTGTCCGTCCCTTTCTGCTGAGATTACCAGTGTTTTGTGGCTAAGCTCAGCTTTTTGTGTGGATGCTGGAGACTCAAACTCAGGTTCTTACTTGTATACAGCAAGCACTCTTACTCACTGTGCCATCTCCCCAGGCAAGATGATTTTCATACATAAACAATATCACATTTATACTCAGGGCCAATGTGAACTGACTATAAAATTAAAAGATGACTAATTGATATCACATTTGCTAAAACACATGAGATTTTTCATCTGCTCCTGTGTTGATGTGCATCAGTGCCAAGGACACAAGCTGACATAATAGGTCAACAGTGAGAGCTTCTTTACACAGCAAGTTCCCTAGAAGAATGACATGTACCTTAGCATGATGTCACCTGCTATTGCCCACTGTTCTTTACAGCTCCGAGTCGCTGTTTCAACCTTGCTTCACCAGCTTCCTGGTCTCACAAAAACGAAAGCACTTATGTCTGTAAATATTAAGTTCTTACATACACCCACATTATCTGCGCTCATTCCTATGTTCCTATTTCACAAAGTTGTCAAGCAAATGATGTTTGAAAATTACTATGAAAGGCATAACTTCTGTGCTTTACTGCATCACCTGACTGCTCATGCACCTTTCCAGGTTTCTATTCTGGCAATTTACCTAAACATATTGCTTTCTTAGTGCTTTAGTCAGGGTTCTCTACAGAAACAGAACCAGGGGATAACACTTAACCTAGCTCTTGGTTCAGGGAGAGACATGGTCTCAAAGGAATAGGGCAAAGAGTGATCTAAAAGGATGACATCTTCCTCGGGTCTCCAAAGGTGCACAGGAACACACACACACACACACGCGCACAGGCACATACACCTACACATTCACCACACCTACAATGCTTACACACACCACACATGCACAAACCATAAACTTTAATACAAAAGAAAATGATCTTTTTGATGAGCAAATCACATATGGAATGTAGATAGATTTATTCCTGCAATCCATTACATTTGATGTGACTAAAGCCTTGGTCTTGTAATCTCTGGCCAGAACACATTTAAAACAGTGGGATGTATCTTTTAGTAGTGAGGGGGAAATTATGATAAAAATCTGTACCATAAATATGATAAAGTTTATGTAGGAAAAGAGCATTAGTTAGTAGGATTCCATTACATAAGGAAATTTCATCAGTGTTTTGACAATAATGACTCTAACATGAAAAGAAAAATTGTGAAGTTGATCTTTTTATGACTACTTTGCAGATATTTTGTCCATATATGAAAAAGATAATGTGTCAATGCATACACTGTTGAAAACAGTTAAATTATAAAAGATGTAGAGAAATTTTATTTGAAGAAAATATTAAAAGTGAAAAATAGTGATTCACTTTAAAGTCATTTGTTCTGAATTTATATACATATATGACCTATGACAAGAGCCTAGTAGGAAAACCCAAGGGTTAATAATCTTTCATGCTTGTGAGCACCAAGCTTGCATGTGTGGAAGCCAGAGAACATCAGGTATTCTCTCCTACCACTCTCTGCCTTATTTGCTTGAGAAATGGTCTTGCACTAACCATGGAGCTTGCTTGTCATCTAGACCAGTTGGCCAGCAAGCCCCAGGAATCTTCCTGCACTATCCCCTACTTTCAGTGCTGGGGATACAGGTATGTTTAGTCACAGCTCGGTTTTTTAATGAGTACTGGGGATCTGACCTAGGTCCTGATGCTTATCCATTGAGTCATTTTCCCAGCCCAAATTAAAAATTTCTTACAGGTCCATTAGACAAAATTATTTTAAAACTACATAAAAATTAAGACTGCTGACATATTAGAAAGACATTTAAATATTTTAAATTAAAAGCAGAAAGTTATTAACTGAATTCACCAATACTAAAACTACAGATTAAGCACAGGCAACTGTTTAAGTAAACCTTAGCAAATAATTTCACTGAAACATTTGTTTTTAAGAATAAAACTAGCACACAGTTCAGATCTACCTATGAATGTGCCACTGACAGACATTTCTAAACATTAGAGCATTTCTTCTGATGTGTGCAATTTCTAAAGCATTCCATAAATTATTTTATGCCAGGCTCTTCACATTAGTTGTGTTAACAGAATCCTACTACATCAGCCTTTGACACATGCAACAAATGACAATTTTACTTACATTTACAAGGTTTTGACTGTGTATATGCTGGCCAAGAGAAGACTTATGGATTTCTTCTAACCAAGGTTCTTGATATAGTGAGTTCTTTTGTGTGTATGATGTGCATGCATGTGAGGAGAGTGTTCATATGTTTGTGGCTGCACATAACATTTGCATGGATAGGTCAGAGGTTGATGTTAATGTTGGATGTATTCCTGGATCATTCTCCACTTTACTTTTAGAATGTGAATAGACTTGAGTAGACTAGCTAACCAGCAAGCTCAGGAATCTCTTGTCTGTCTCTCCCAGCACTGGCATTATTTACAGGCATGTGCCACCATGCCTGGCTTTTGTATGGGTGCTGAGGATTTAAACTCAGGATCTCATGCTTCGGTGGCAGGCACTATACAGACTGAGCCATCTTCCCATCCCCTTTAGTGTTGTTTTGAGAACTGAACAGAGACAAGTAGAGATAATCCCGCATGCTTTACATTGACACAGGTTAAATTCATTATGCCATCATGTTTGCTACAAAGAACTTACAATAATGGAGGTTTCCTTTGTTCTATATTTAGAGATACGCTCCAATGTGTCTCCATTAGTGTTCTTTTGACGGGAACCAGAACATGTTCAGGCTTATTCACATTGCTTGCAACCATATTTGGCTGTTGCTGTTGTTTTAGTTAATAAGATTAAAACGTATTCAAAGAGAAGGTTTTCCAATGTATTTACACACAGTGCATCTTTTCATGGTATCGAAGAGAACCATGAGTACTGTAGGATTTCCCACATTGTTTACATACATAGGGTTTCTCTCCAGTGTGAATTCTTTCATGGCATCGAAGGGAACTGTGATCAGTGAATGCTTTCCCACAGAACTTGCACACATACGGTTTCTCTCCCCTGTGGATTCGTTCATGGCGTTGAAGAGAACTGTGAAAAGTGAAGGCTGCCCCACATAACTTACATACATAGGGTTTCTCTGCACTGTGAATATTCAGAATTCTCCTCATCTCCCAGCCCCGCCTACCTTCCTGCCTCTACTGGCTATTGGCCAAACAGTGTTTTATTCATCAACCAATAAGAGAAACACATACACAGAAGGACATCACTGGTTAGCAACAATTAAATACATTTTAATTTTAAACAGTTTAAATAATAAACTGCGGGTGAGGGGAGGTTGAGACTTGCACTGACTTCCTGTTGAGAATTGGTTCTGTCATTCTCTTTAGGTGATTATAGGAATATTCCGATCGAGGAAGAGAAAACTGACAGTTTTAACTGTTGGGAAACTTTTCCTTGGGATTAGCCAATATACAGTGAGTGGCTGAGGCTTCTTTGTTAGAAGTCACCACATATGCTACCCATGAAATCAGTGTGGTTACCAGAATTCTGCTTCTCTTTTTAGTGTAAATGTGCTTGTGGTTCTGTCCTTGGGGTGGGGACACTGAAAAGAAAGAATGGCGTGGGAATGTGAGGTGTACTGGCAGGCAGAAAAGTCATAGCATAAACATATATATGTATATATAATGCATCTATCATCTGTCTGTCTGTCTGTCTGTCTGTCTATCTCTCCATCCACTTATCTTCTAGCTACTGTCACTAGGGTTGGAGAGTTCCTTTTGTAGGTTCTTGATCTCATTGTTAAAAGAATTTAAGACATGATGCAGAAAGGAACTACTAGGCAATTTGTTGAAATTAGAGAGAGAAAACAAATAGAGCAGGAAAGCTGGAGATCTCAATAGCTTCTTGGAAAAGGAGAATGAAAGAGGCCAAAGAGAGAGAGAGAGTTATACTTTAATAAAGTCCAGACAATAAGATCCAGCTTGGAGGACAAAGTAGGCACTTGGTGAAATAAAGAGCTGGGTGCCCACGGTGTCTGTTCCTTGTGATTTTTATTGAAGGGTACAAGGTTGTCCTCCTAAGGTGATCTGAACGTTGGGCACAGAAACAATGCTCCATACCTGTGCACCCAATGAGAACGAGCTATTTAACCTTAATATAATGTGGACTAACACTGTAGACAGCTCAGAGTTGATGTGTGTGGTGGAGAACTAAGGACAGACACATTTAAGGAAGGGAGGAATAATAGCTAATTGGATTTATTGTTGTCAGTCTGCCTTTTAGATTTGTAGTGGTGACACCAAAGATTTTAGAGTCCAAGCCAGGGCTCTTGTAGCCCTAACAGGCTCAGCGGCCTGTCCTTAGCACACGGACTCCAGAGGCAAGTGAAGTAAAGAGTGCCAAAAGGAGGTAAGGCACAAATGAAGAGGTCCAGTGGCCCCCGAATCCGTCTTTGAGGTACTGACATAAAATTTGCATTTACATAAAGGGCAACTAAGGCCCTAGGCAGGTTGTGGCAATGCCCATCCTTGTCAGAGCTATGTGAAATCTACTCCTGGGAGATATGTTCCTCCTGTGGATGGCACTGGGGTCTCAACGTTCCCCCTTCCCCAGCAGATTTCTGGGAAAATTCCGATTCTTTGGGATTCAGTGTTTTAATAGATCCAAAGAGTCTCTCCTTCTGTCGTCACTCCTGCCAGGACTTTTATGTAGCCAGGCAAGAATAATTAACAGCATTTATTGCCTCCAGCTTACCTTTTAGATTTGCTCCAGGAAAGAAGAGTTAACTGTATTTACTGCCACCCACTTACCCTTTAGCTCTGTGGCCAGTTGAAAGCCCTTGCCATTGGCTCACCTTTCCCCTGGCAGTTAATTATAAGCAGCCCCTGATCTTTATCACTGACTTGGAAGGCTAGTGGCGGTTTTATTATGAATAGCAATGGAAGGCCTGTGCTTGAACACAAGTGAGAATCAGCTTGGAGATTTTTCATTATCATGCTTGAAATCTGCCTTTTTACCCTGTAAAGATTTCCCATCTACCAGGGAACTGCTGACCACTGATGATGCTATTTGTCTCAGAGGACACACACACACACACACACACACACACACACACACACACACACACACACACACACAAACACACGACAAACCTCACTGATTATGTGAAAATTTTCAACAAAGGTAGTTTTAGGTTACTTGAGAAAGAATTACAAAGGGGAAGGGGGTGAAGGTAGGTGGGTAGGGAAGTTTGGGGAGGAATTGGGAGAGAGGAAAAGTGTGATCAGAATATATTACATGAAAATTTTCAATTAAACAAGGCATTAGAAGAAGAAAGACCTACCATGATCATGGATCGCTAAAATAACCCAAATAACATAGATTCAGTGAAATTGCCATAAAATTATCACAACATTTTACACAAAACTAGAAACAATGCTTAAACTTGGTATGAAATCACAAGAGATCAGGAGACCCCAAGCTCAGAGAACAAACAAAACACGACAGCCCGCCAGGATAGTGCCATAAATACAGATGCATAGTCCAACGGAAGAGAAAAGAGAACACAGAAATAAACCCATTTGGTTGGCTGATACTCAATAAAGGTGCCAAAAAATATACACTGAGGAACGACGGCAGGGCTGATAAGTGATGGTGGTAATACTGCATTTCTTCACGGAGATGTCTGATACTAAACTAGACTCCTAGAGAAATTACACCGCAGGGGGGAAAAAAAATCAATTCAAAAACTGCTCACTGGTTGCCTCAAAATGATTGGCTGACCAGAAAAGACAAAACAGGAGTAAGCACCGTCTATGTGGCCAGCCCCCAGGAGAAGCCCTTTTCTCCTAGCTATGTCCTGACAAGCTTTCACCCCTCCTTCCGTCGGGGCCTTCGCCCTGATCTCTTCAGTTAACACGGAGAAACTGCATCAATCCCTACAAGCGGTCCCGCTGCAACTCCGTTCCCAGTTTCTCTCGGGGATCGGTGGGTGGGTCGCCTGGGCCATGACCCTGGGAACCCGGGTTTCAACTGTCAATCCGGGAAAAAAGCCTTTGGACGGGGGACAATGTCGTGGATTTTAGAGACCGCTTCCCTGTCAGGGACCG